AAAAATAATAATGATGATAACAATGATAAGATTAATAATAACAGAAGAAGAAGAAGAACAACAACAACAACAAGACGACGAAGAAGGAAAAAAACAAGAAAAGGGTGGAGGAAGAGAAGAAGTAGAAGAAAAGATACATAAAAGTAACGTTCTACTTTTGAAAGAAACATGGCTTGGGCCTACTCTATTCTCTCTCAAGGATGGTGAACATTGAAAAATTGAAAATTGAAACAAATGCATGTGTATGAATTCTGTGCCGTCTAGGGTTGTGTTCAATAATATAAAGCAACACAAATTTTGAAATAAACGAAAATTAATTCCGTCTTGGATATCAATTTATTATTCGAGATGAAACGAATGAGGCAAACAAATAAAAACATGCAAACTTGATGTCCAAAACCAATACAGACATTTCATGTTCATGTTACGTCAAGGGATCTGATTAACTGATATCATGTGGCGTCGGTGGCTTAGTGGTTATATACAGGCTCTTAGACTCGCAACCGTAAGTTCGTGGGTTCGAATATTGTCAGGAGCCTGATATTGTGTCCTTGGGGAAGGCAATTTACAAGAATTTTTCTCACTTCACCCAGACGGGAATGAATACTCGACTATAGACAGAGAAAGATCTTGTTAGTGTTAGTGTTTGAGCGCTTAATCAGCTTCCTGCACTGTAAGCTTCCCGGGCAGCCGAGAACGTTTCTGAGTTTTCTGGGGTCTGCTTGGGTAATGGTAATAATTGATATTGTGTAAAACGATTAGTTTGTTATCTGGCGAGGACATGTGCCATATAAATGGTATTTTCATCATCATCATCATCATCATCATCATCATCATCAGCATCATCATCATCATCATCATCATCATCAGGTACTCAAAGTGGCAAGCTGTCCCCTTCACGATGGGGAGTACCGTTCTCAACGAAGACAGCCACATCCAATGGGGAAGCTCTAAGCAGAGAATCGATGGCCGATCAATCTGGTGAGAGGTTGGTGCGGATGTGACAATTTTCACCGATGGATCGGCAGTCGCAGGATACTGCGAAGGTGGAGCAGCAGCAGTAGTGATAATAAATGATGAACCACCACGAACAGAAATTATTAAAACTAAAGGTGCATTCCTTACATCATCTTATGACGAGGAATGCCAGGCAATGATGTCTGCTGCACAATGGATTGCCGACAATTGCCACAGTAGGACCAATGTGCTGATCTTGACTGACAGTCAGTCCCTCTGCAAGGGGCTGCTGGGCAACAGCTCGGACATGAATGATTTGCGCCGCAAGTTCAGTGAAGCCAGAGCCACAATAAAAATTCAGTAGATTCCAAGCCATGTTGGAATAGAAGGAAATGAGGCAGCAGACCAAGCTGCTAATGAAGCCAGAGAGATCGAAGGAGACAGACGACCAACGACATACAGAGGAGTCTTTCCAATAATCAAGAGAGAAATCAGAGACCCACCATGTAGAACAAAGTACCAGCACCTGGAAGATGTGTATTCTGGGTACTCCTATAAGCGGGAACAAAAATCTATCACATGTCGCTGGGACCAGGTTGAGCTAGCGAGACTGCGGTCGGACCATCATTGGAGTTTAAGATGGTATAAGAACTTTGTAAATGAAGAGCTCAGCCCATGTTGCCGAAGATGCGGCCATGAAAAGGAGGATATCAAACATATGTTTGAATGTCCAGGAACAATGGCAATTCGAATGGAGTTATTTGGACGAGTGGAGGTGCCGCTAAGCATATTGACAATAGAGCCGAAAAAGAGCCTCGCTCTCGCTCGAAGATTTCTTCGTGAAGTCCGTCAGGCCCATTAAGGAAACGAAAAAAAATCATCATTATCATCATCATCATCATCATCATCATCATCATCATCATCATCATCATCATCATTTATTATCATTATTATCATTATTATTATTATTATTATTATTATTATTATTATATTTTGATATTTGAAATTGAAGACTTTGAAAGCTATTGAAGGAGAGTTTCCATTTCAAACTAAAACAAACCTTAAAACATAAAAGTGTGACAGAGAGGTCAATAAAGTAAAGGCAGTTGCTGAAAATAAAGCAGGCCCATTGTTGAAATAAACTACATGTAACGTGAAGGAGAATATACAATTCAAAACAAAATAGACGAACACATAAAGTATGCATGGTTCAGCTGAAAACAAAACACGAATATACATTGCATACATGGTTCATTTCAAGACAATTGACAAATAAACTATAAAATACATACTTGGTGCAGCTCAACACACGAAAAAAGACGAATAAACAATAAACGCATGGTTCATTCCAACAAAGGCGAACAAAGTATGCAATGCCTACTTGGTACAACTCAAAACAAAATTGACGGAAAAACAATGCATGCAATGTTCAGATCAACAAAATGGACGAAAAATCAAAGAAATACGTACTTGGTGCAACTCAAAACAAAATAGACAAATAAACATTGAGCCCATGGTTCATTTCCACAAAAATGACGAACGAATGAAATGCATATTATTCGACACAGCTCAAAACAAGATCGACGAATAAACATTGAACGCATGGTTCATGTCAGGTTTATGGGAGAACAAATAAAGAAATAAATAAGCGAACAAGCAGGTAGACCCTTTCACGGATCCTGGAGAGGAAGGAGGAGCAGCTATGGGTGGCATTGTGAGCAATGATACCTATTCTCCAACCAAGTAAGTAAGTAAGTAAGTATGGTTCATGTTGGGTTTTTTAAATATACAAACATACAGCAAAACGAAATAGAAGATCAAACAAGGTATGCATGCTGCAGCTTAAAACAAAATAGACACCGAACAAACAATACATGCATGGCATTAAATAACCCCCAAAGAAGTTATCTTACCTGTAGAGAGGGTGTAAGGTAGCGTTGTATTTTTGGGCGAATTCCATGAAATCACACCCATAGACCTCATCGTGTTTTCTCAGCGCGCGTGTTGGGGTGATCGTAGGATTAGTTGTATTCACTCTGATACCTAGGTGGGAAGAATTGAAGTGGAGAGAGAGGGAGAGAGAGATAGAAGGAGGGGGTTAAATATTAATGTCTTTCCCGGCAATGCACAAGAGCATTTCGCTGATATTCTGGGGCTTCGTAGTGAAATCAGGCGCTCGTCAAAAGAATGAAATCTAAGAAAAGTAAGATATATAACGGATTTTTTTCCAATTGTTCGACATTTTTATTTTTCTATTTTTTTTTACTCAACACCTTTTATGTCCATTAAAAATATTTCTATGTGGATATTACTGAAAAACAATGATTAAACACTCAACAAATGTAAATTTTCAGTTTCCAAGGTTTCTCAAACTTTGGAAATCAACTAACTTTGGCGGCCATTTTCTGGCTAATTTTACCTCTAAAATCAGGTGTCCCAGACCTCATTCAATCGCACATATCTCACCTTCTATATTTAAGATAGATGTGTATTATTTTCATAGAAACATAGTCAAATGAACAAACTTTAATGGGGGGGGGGGGGGGGTTGCACCCCCAAAGTCCCGATTCCGCTCAAAATTATGGAATTTGAGTTGTGGGCATTCTTAGCTTCCTCAGCCTCTCCTACAACTATTCCATCGCATAAGAACCCATAGAAGCCTTTTTTCTCCCTATACCGGGCATATTTGTCACCACCATTTCCTTATACTCATAAACTCAATATTTTGTTTTTCTTTATCGGCTGTTTCATCGAAACGCGATTTTTTTCTATACTCTTTTGAATAACTCCACCATTTTTAAAATCTAATCTTCATGGAATTTTCACCGAATGAAGAGAAGATGTAATGCTAAAAATATTTCAGTTGAATTTTGATATATGGAATAGATTTTTGTTGGTGGTGTCCGGAGTGTGGATTTTTACGGATTTTTCATAAACTTGAATACTACCTCAAGAAAAAAATTCCTTAAAAAATGTTCTAATTCGTTTAGGAAAAAACAACATATTTTTTTAGATTTAATGTTTGCATATATGCATGCAAAAAAAAAAAACCAGCAAAAAACCCCAATCAATTTCTTTTAAAAAATAAGTACGGTATCCATTACGTAAGACATGTCAACCAAATCCAATATGGCCACCGTATCCATGGAAGCAAAACTTTTTTCTCAAATTCGATTGTAGATTTTAAGACTCTTTACTATGCTAGTAATATGGGCAAAATTTGGTAAAATTTGGTGGACTAATAGGTGAGATAGCCATCAGGTGTAACCCCCCCCCCCCTTTTAAGATAATATCAATAACTCCAGATGCGCAACAATAATTGACGAGCGCCTGATACCACCGCGTCGTAACGCAATAGCATATCGCGGCTGCTTGCGGATCATCGAGTCACGTTAAGTGGTTTAAAGGTTAGGCTCTTCACTTTTCCTGGCAGAAGACGTGAGTTCGATTCCCATGATATTGCCATAAAGTCATTTAATTTGTATCTTGTGTCCCCGTCTGTCTGCTGGAATGCTGTACCGTGTACCCTACAGAGCCCGGGCTAGTCCAGATAGGCAGGGACAGCGCAGCTAGTCTTATGATTTGATCTAATATTGTCGAAATGGGCGCAAAACATTCATTTAATAATTTTAAAAAAATAAATAACTAAATTACACTTTTATAATTTGTACCCAGAAGGGCACTTTTGGTTTATAATAGCAAACATACATACGCACATTAATATACATAATTATAAACACATACATACATAAATACATGTATAAATACATACGTATATACAATACATAAATACACAATATCACACAAATACAGAACAATTTTACAACCATGCCACTGTCGGTCGCCACTGTGCAGCACCCTGTATTTTGAGCTAGGGTTGTCGTGTCTTGCTAAAGGACACACCCCAGTGACCACCCATCTGATCCCCGTGTCACCGACACTTGCTTAACCTTACTTGAATCTGAACTCACTACTCACTACTCACTTAGCCACCGGAGCCACCAATCATTAATCATAATCAACCAGCAATGAAAGTGGACGCCGCAAAGTGCTGTCATATAAAACCCCGGCCACACTGCCTACTGAATCATTAAAATTTGATTCAGTTGGTGGGAGCCTCTCGGAATTGCTTTCACAGAGGGACCAAATAAAGCTAAACCTTAACAAAATAATTAGGTTCAATTCGACTCGCGACCCAGGAAAACAAACGGGTCCGATTTTAAAGATCACGATCCACTTTGGTCGAATTCGGCCTCGATTGAGCTACGATAAATACATAAATGAAAAAAAAAAAAAAAAAAAATATTTTCTAAGAAAAGAAAAAAAAATCAGCTTTTGTCCTGTCCATGAAGGAAAAACTGGCAGTCCCCTACTGAATCAAAACACGAATAAATTCGACTGTTAGTGTGCATCCTCTATAACTATAACTAAAGTAAAGTCGTTTCCCCATCCGATCCGGACATTGGGGATTGCCTTGTTAGTGAGACAACTTCCTGGGCCTTCGGCATATTGTGGTTGGGTGGCCAGTTCCTTTCCACGC